CCAGCACCAAAAGTAAACATCAGCCCATCCTACAGAAAGGGAACTTCATGTCAGATGCTGGAGAAATACCATAAAAGAGGCACATTCACTAATTCCTAGAGTGAATAAAAGTACTGTCAAAGTAAAGATCCCAAATTATCAGGACAACAGTCCTACTGCGGGAAGAGATCACCTTTTTTCTGGATAACATTAATGCCTCATACACAGTATTCTTCTAGATGTACAGTCAAAGGAGACCATGTAAACCTACCTGTGTGAGCAAGGCAGCATGAGAACCACCACAAGCGAGAAATTCAACTTTCTTATTGTCTGGTGTTTCAATAAGGCAAGGAACTGCTCTATCTGTGCAGGGAAAGAACAGTTGAAGTGACCAAAAAGAAGCAGTGAGTTTTCACACTGGTTACCTGGCCTACTTCCTCTCAACCTAGCAACAGCAGTGCTCAGCCAATTCTGACAAGCTCAGATCTATACTGACAGACTGAGGCCCAAGTTCTAGCCCTAAAGTTGAGAGTGGGGCAGTAGCCAAAGGGTCACCCTTAGTAACCTATGTATGTGGAAGGGCCAAGCCACTTCCCAAGATTTCATTCTTTTCTTTTCAATCTAATTTTTTTTTTAATCATAGGAATTGAACCGAGGGGTACTCTATCATTGAGCTACATATTGTTCCCTTCTTTTTTTCAGACAGGTTCTCACTAAGTTGCCCAAGTTGGCCTCAAACTTATGATCCTCTTGCTTTAGCCTTCTGAGTAGCTGGGATTACAGATGTGCACCACCACCCCTAACTTGATTAATTTTAATTGAAACACATCAGATATTTCTAATTCTTGCCCAGAATTACATTTTTTTTTCCTGGTTCTGGGGAGTGAATCCAGAACCCAGGGTCTTACAACATGCTAGGAAAACATTCTACCATTAATGAGCATGAAGATTTTTTTCTCCACCAGGAATAGTGCCTCACACTTGTTAATTACAGCATCTTGAGAGGCAGAATGATTACAAATTTGAGGCCAGCTTTGGCAATTTAGTGAAACCTCGTCTCAAAATGAAAACTAAAAATGGCTGGGGATGTGGCTCAGTAGTACAGTTCAATTCAAAAGGGAGAAAAAATTCTCTACTACAGCATTCTCACCGCATGCTACTTTTCCTTTCCTTCATGATTATTTTCCCACCAAGGCACTCAAAAGATTCAGCAAAAAATAATTTTTAATCACATTTTACTGTCTTTTGGTACTGGGGATTGAACCCAGGGACTCTCTACCCCTGAGCTACATCCCCAGTATTTTGTATTTTGAGATAGGGTCTTGCTAAGTTGTTGAGGCTACCCTTGAACTTGTGACCCTGCTGTTTCAGTCTTTTGAGTTACTGGGATTACACGCATGTGCCACTATGCCCAGTATAACCATTTCTTTACTCTTATCCATTTTGAATACTTCTCCAACACTGAATTATGAGTTATTCTGTGTAATTAGCATTGAGCCATATTAGGGAGACATGCAAAATTTGACCATTTCCAGATAAAACAGAATTCATTACACATGAGAATTCTAATAAGTCATCTGGGACCATGAGAAATTTTGCCATGCTTTGTAGAGGTAGTTCAATAATGGCAATTACATGATTTTTTTTGGTTGTGTGAATGTGTATATAGACATAAATAATGCCGTTTAAAATAGGATCAGGATGTGTGAGTTTCCATACAGAATTTCAGCGTTTTTACGTTCAAAGACATCTTAAAAGTCATTTTATCAAAACTTGTCACTTTCCAGAAAAAGGAAATAGGCTCAGAGGAAAGTGAGGGCATGACAAGGCCCTGTAGTAAGCAAATTGCAGAATGGGAAGAATCTCAGTGTTTTGATTCCTAATCCAATGCCTTTGCTGTCCTACACAGGCCTTGATTATATCAACAACTTCCACATGGTCTCCTGGACAGATTCCGCCTTAAAGTCAGATAAATCATGAAGACCAGTACAAATGAACACAAGGATCTTAACCATCTGTGACAGGAAGGTCTGTGTTCAATTATCTCCTATTTAACAAATATATTTGTTAATAATATGAATTTGAAAATGTTCCTTACTCTTGGTGTGGCCCAGGCCAAGTTGTCCAAAATTATTTTTTCCCCATGAATAAACATTTCCAGACATGGATAAGGCCATGCTGTGGGCTTCTCCAGCAGAAATCTGAACCAAGGGGACTCCTGCGAGGTTCTCCACCATCTGTGGTATGGGGGTGAAAGGAAAGATCCTTTCAACTCCAAGCTGGCCATGCAGGTTCTGTCCCCAGGCAAAAAGCTCACCACCTTGACAAAAACAAAGAAAATTCAGTCGTATTAATTGCACTATGTATACTACACGTCTTACATTCATATTTACAAATCTCTCAGGACCTGTGCCTAACTCTGAAAAACACAGAAGAATCTTCTCTTTAGCAGTAACAGTTAAGTAACTTCCTTATCCCTCATCTCAAGGGATACAATGAAGCTATCTGAATATAAATATTTGATCAGATTCAAGGAATACTTTAAGAAAGCCACATGTCGGGCCCATGAAAAACAGAAGTATTCTAGTCTGAGAAAATAAAACCCAGAACTAGTATTTCTTCTACTTTCCTCCCTTTCAGAGGCCTAAACATCCCAAATAAACAACTTAGAAATTCACTTGAAACCAGGCATGATGGTACACACTTGCAACTACTTAGGAGGCTGAGAGAAGGATCACTTGAGCACAGGAGTTTAACATACCAGCCTGGGCAATGAATGAAGTGAGATGCCAACTCAAAAAAAACAAAAAAACAAAAAACAAAAAAAAGCCACAGCACAGTATTTTGAAAGAGACAGCTTCTTCTTTAACTAGTTGAATATATGAAGCATATTTTTCAAGGAATTTTTTAGGTTATCTAATGAAACTGTCAGTATTCAATGGCATCTGAAAAAGCATATCAGAGAACCAGTGTTTAATGATCACCTCCTTGTAGAATACCATTCGAGGGGGTAGAATCTCTTTTTCAAGTAGAATTTTCAAATGCCTATTAGCCACCAGGAATATAATGATGAGCATGACCAGTTTCCTTCTTTACTTTTCTTTTATTTTTTTCTGTATTTTGATTTACCAGTAACTTTTATTTTTTTTCTCTTTTCTTTTGAGACAGAATCTTACTATGTTGCCCAGGTTGTCCTCAGAGTTGTGATCCTCCTGCCTTAGCCTCTGAAGTCACTAGATTCCAGACTCCTTCAAGACAGGTATGTAATTTTCACAGCCTAAACATAATAGATACTCTATATGAAATATCTGGACATTAATGGATGAGATCAAAATGGCCAATTTTTTCTAGTACAAGTTCATATTCTCAAACCACAACAGAGCCTTCAGCATCTACTTATGTGTATGCTGATACATACACACACACATACACACACACACACACACGTATGTATTTATCCTACTCCCGCTTTTTGGGTGGTACTGGGGATTAAACTCAGGGCCTCATGCATGCTAGGCAAATGCTCTACCTCTTAGCTATATTCCTAGCTTTTTATTTTTTATTTTGAGAGAGAGTTTTGCTAAGTTGCCCAGATTGGTTTCGAACTTGTGATCCTCTTGTCTCAGGCTCCTAAGTAGCTGGGAATACAAACAGGTATATGCCACTGTACCCAGCTGTCATTCATATATATATATATATATTTTTTTTAATTTTCTCAATCCTGAATTCCTTCTATCACCCTCCTATAGCTATTCCTTTCATAGTCAAGTTTGCTGCTTCCATTTCATACTATCAGTGTTTGACAGGGAACACTGAAAGGATGGGAAAATCCTGAAATTCAAAAGATGATATATGTAACACAGGCCTGCAACTTGGGCCCCCAATAGAACTAGAGAAGATTCTCAACTACAATAATGAAATCTAGTAGAGTGTTAGAAAAAGGAAAAAAAGTTCTGGAAAAGGGTGGCCAGGGCTGGGACCAGATTCCAGAAGGAATGTTTTTGATTATTCAGAAATTCTTCACTATTTCATATTTGCAAAATAAAAGACTGGAATAAAATGTAGAAACAGTTGATTCTAGAAATCTGAAGATTTTAGAGACCCAAGAATTCTCTCTCATTTTGCACCCTTTAAGAGCACTACGTTAGTTAGGCATGGTGGCACACACCTGTAATCCCGGCAGCTCAGGAGGCTGAGGCAGGACGATCAGGAGTTCAAAGCCAGGCTCAGTAACTGAGTAAGGACCTAATGAACTTAGTGAGATCCTGTCTCAAAATAAAAATATGAAAAGGGCTGGGGATGTGGCTCAGGAATTAAGTGCCCCAAGTTAAATCCCCAGTACCAAAAAAGAATATCCTTTGGCTGGGTGCAGTGGCACATGCTTGTAATCCTAGTAGTTCAGGAGGCTGAGACAAGATGATTTGAGTTTGAGGACAGCCTCAGCAACTCAGTGAGGCTCTGAGCAACATAACAAGGTCCTGGCTCAAAATAAAAAAATTAAAGAGGGCTGGAAACACAGCTTAGTGATTAAGCACCCCTAGGTTCAATCCCCAGCACAAAAAAACAAAGCAAAACAAAAATAAACACATACAACTCTGAATCGTATCAAATTCAAAACTACATTTCTGTCTTGTCACAAAATGAGGTATATCTATTTGACTGGTTCTACAGATACATGTATTTACTACTTACGGAAAACAATATTCCAAAAATTACCTTTTGATAATGCAAGAGAATGATAATCTCCACATGTGATCTGAATTATATATTTTTCTTGCAAAATGCTTTGAAACCTGATCAAAGAAAAGATAGTTTATGAAAGTCATAATGATTGTTAGAACTAATAATGTAATTAGGAATGAAGTCAAGAAAAACAACTTTAAATTTACCACTTCACATTCAGTACACTGAACTGTAAAAATACTTTGAAGAAAATATTTAGCATAATATATTTATAATATAATGAGTCTAAAATACCCTACTTATGTAAACAATTTTAACATGCAGAAATAAATGTAAGTTGAAAATAAGTTCTAATTCATGCAATCTACTAGGAAAAAAGTCTTACAAATCACTTCATGATAATGCATTTTTTCCTAGGTTTAAAAACTTATTTCTGGAAATACCATATAGGATTATCTTGAGTATCAAATAATTTGATGAATGTCAAAGTTCAATTTGGGGCTAGAGAAACTAATCAAACATTTCAAATGCCAAAACAACATGGTAGCTACAGCAGAATACTGGTTTGTATGGTATAGATGGAATTCACTGGTCAGTTTAGAATTCATCACTACTTAACACATTACTTTGTCCTATTATTCCAGACTGGGAACACCTATAAAAACTTCAGTATATAATGCATAATATAATTATACAGTGTGTAATAAAATAATATTATTAATGAACATTAATATAACATACATAAGTTTGTAATTTCCACCTTATTTTAATGACCTGTGCAATATTGGTAGAATTGAAAATCTTCCTTAAGATGCTACTATATAGAGCAGAGGACAAGAATCATATGGTGTAAAATTTTACTACAAAATTACTGTTGCCTTTCAGGTGAAAGTAAAACCATTTAACAAAAGAAAAAAAAAGTTACCTACTTTGGGTGTTCTATGCTGTAATTGTATTCAAACAGCTTTCCATCTGAGGACAGAGTCAGCATATGCTCTTCTCCTTGGTCCATTGAATGTATCTTCATTTTTTTCCCTAACTTAATACACTCTGAAAAGCAAATCCAACAAGAAACTGTTATCAGTTATTATCTACTACTATTATTGATTTCATTATAATACACTTAAAATGCCTGGAAAAAAGTTAAACTAGACAATCTTCAACTTAACATGATTTTTCTCTTTAAGAAAACTCAAGTATGCGAAACAAATAAAAAATAACAATTCTCTTGCCAATGTACATTTTTACATTTGGGAAAGCAAATTTATTCTTTGTTTTACATAAAATAGAACCTTACCACAGTCAATTAAATATCTTGCTTTTAAATCCTTAAAAATATTTTTGGGTAGCAGCGGTGCTTAACCCCTGAACCACATCCCCAGCTCTTTTTATATTGGGACAGGGTCTCATTAAATTGCTTAAGGCATCTTTAAATTGCTGAGGCTGGCTTTGAACTCCTGATCCTCCTGCCTCAACCTCCAGAGCTGCTGGGATTACAGGCATTCACCTACTTGCCCAGTTTAAATCCTTTTTTAATAAACTGAGACAAATTAGATTTACAGTGACAAATGAAAAACTAGGTAAGAAAACATAATTTTAGAGTAACGTAACTCATTTCAAGAACAAATATATTTTGTATTCTGAGACATGCTATCCAAAACCAATAAAAAAACACCCACAGAAAGCTCCCCTCAAAAGCTAATGCCTATATTTAAAAGCAAGAATTGTGTTTGGGGGGAATATTTTTAAAGGGGGAAACCATGGAAAAAAATTTTTACAACAGTTACTATTTAATCTCACTTAGTTTGTTCACAAAAATTAAGAGGATAGTTTGGGGACTTTGTTTCACTCTTTAATTCTAATGAAATAGAATCTACTCTTGTGAAAATCTCAAAAGCACAAACCATTTTACAAGTACTAGAGGAACAAAAATGGCCCAACAGATTAACCCCCCCTTCTTTTACTTATCTTCTAATGTATTTTTATAGACTAAGCATTTCAAATCAGTTAAAAAAGAGGGATATTCAAGAAATGGTACTGGTTAATCATATTCAGTCCCCTGGGGGAAAAAAACAAATAAATTCAGACTCATCATAATCAATTCCAAACATAACAAATTTTAACTTTAAAAATAAAACTTTGAGCTGGGCGCGGTGGCGCATGTCTGTATCCCAGCTTCTTGGGAAGCTGAGGCAGGAGGATAGCAAATTCGAGCGACGCCTGAGCAATTTAGGGAAATCCTAACTCGAAAAACAAAATGGACTGGGGGTGAGGGCTGGGGTTGTGGCTCAGCGGTAAAGCGTTTGCCTAGCGCGTGCAGGGCCCTGGGTTCGATCCTCCGCACCACATAAAAAAGAAAATAAAGGCATCATGTCCAACTACATCTTAAAAAATAAATATTAAAAAAAAAGGACTGGGGGGTGTAGCTCAGTTGTAGAGCAACCCCGCCCCTCACCCCGTCACAAAAAAATACCGCTTTAAAATCACTACCTTATATCTCAGAGGGTTCATAAATTTCTAATTTAAAAATCCACACACCTCCATAAAAGAAAAAGTCGGATAGATGATTTTAAAAGTTTAAATTGTGCACAGGAAGAAATAAGGTCAACAAAAGGCAAGGCAGAAAAATATCCCAACATATACGAGAGGCAAAGAGCTATTATTCAATATCCAAATTGCTATTACAAATAAATAAGGGGAAAAAAAAAGATCCACAATTCAATTTTTTAAAAGCCAGGTAAGGATTTGAACAGGCAGTTGATCGAAAAAGGAATGCAAATGGCCAATGGAGAACTGAAAAAAATGCTCGATTTCACGCCAGTTAAATTCACAACAACACAACAGTAAGACACCATTTACTTCGGACCAGAATTTTCTAAAGATCAATAAGATAAATCAGAACCACCATACGGGGATTAGGATCCGATCCAAGTGCAACTGAAGGCCAATGTTATACTGTCGCGGATAAAGATAACTGAAGCCTCTAAAAGGCTCACAAAATCGGGGAGAGTGGGTGGTGGTGTGTGTTGCGGGGGGAGGTGGAAATCAACTTTGAACGGCAACCACTTATAAAAGGACCGTGGCTAAGAAGATGAAGATGCTCTCCGTACACTCCCACGCGGGTCACTTTGCAAAGGACGGTCCAGTTTTGACCCACATCCTGCGAACTCCGCGACCAGTGGGGACCGGGGTAAAGGGAAGTTCAGGTGCGCTGCACCGCGAGACCACCGGAGCCGGGCGCGCGTCCGCCGCCCCAGGCACAGCCGCCAGCCAAATGCCCTTCCGACCGCTCCCACCCGTACAAGGTGAAGGACAGCACACAGCACTCCACCCCTCTCAGGGAAAGCGACAGTGCCAGCCACGCCACCCCCGACTCGAGACCGAGCGGATACCTCCCGCACGCCCCACTTACTGGGCTTCCTCGCCCCGTCGCTCCTCGGCGGCAGCTGGTGGATCTCGACGCCAGCCCCGCCGCGCTCCAGCACCGCTAGGCGCCTCGACGTGCAGCATATCTGGCGCGTAGTCTCGGACCTCCGGAGTAGCGCGCTGCGGAGACCCGAGGCGCTGGGGAAGAGCCACAGTCCCGCGCAGTGCGGCTCCACGGAGCGGGACGCGGCAGCCCGGCCGGGATTCGAGCGCGCGCGGCCCCGCGACCTCCTCCGCAGCCTCGGCTCCATCACTGCTTTTTTTTTTTTTTTTCTTTTTGTCCGCGGCCGCGAGGCAACAGGAGAACGTCGAGGACCGCCAGTCTCCAGCCCCGGCGTCGCGCGGTGGAGCTGGAGTTAGCGCCGCTGGCGTCCGAGATTCGATTCCGCCCCTGCCCCGCCCCTGCCCCGACGCCGGGCTCCCCACGTGCTGTTTGGGGGCGGGGCCAGCAGTCAACGGAGAAAACGAAACTGTTTTGTTTGGGTTTTTTATTTGTCAGGCGAAAAGGAAATTAAAAGGGAAACTCCCGAGCGTTTCGAAAGGCTTGGGAGGCGGTCCGAGAAAGAAGTCTCTGGTAGGGGGTAAAGTGGGCCGCCGAGGAGGTCGTCTCCGGGCTGGACCGCGGCCACCTGAATTCCTGGACTGGATGGCTTTCGAGGAAACTGCGATTCCGCTAGGAGGCACCCTGACGCTGGCCGATTCTAGAGAAGGCTGTAGGGTGAAAACACAAGCTAAAGTGTATTTAGCGTCTGTTCCAGGTTCAAACCATAGAACGGAAATGAAACTGAAGAAGAAAGCTGGGCACTCAGTCCACCCCCTTCTCACCCCACGCACCTTCGCATCTTCGTGCCTTGTAAACAGTGATCTGTCCTATTGTCAGTATAGTTTGGCCTTTTCTAGAATTGTATACAATGGAATCATACCAAAGTAGTCTTTTGTGTCTGATCTTTTTACTTAGCATAAAGCTTTGAGATTCATCCTTTTGTGTTGCCTAAGTATCCTCCCTTGTTACTGCTTTGTGCATTCTGTGATATGGATATATCACAATTTATTTATCCATTCACCAATTGATGGTCGTGTTAGTCCTTTCCAGTTTGGGGCTACAGTGAAGAGAGCTGCTATGAATATTTGTGCACAAGCCTTTGAGGAAACAAATGTTTTCATTTCCTCTGGGTAAATACCTATAAGTGGTATTGCTGTATCTTTTGATAAATGGTTGGATATCTTCAAAAGAAACTGCTAAGCGCTTGTACTCTGAAGTACATTTTACATTCTCTCCAGCAATTTATGTCACTCCACACTTAACAGTTGTAGTGTAACTTTTGTTAACAGTTGTAGTGTAATCTTGTTTTGGTTTTAATTTCCCTAATGACTAATGATACTGAGTGTCTTTTGAGTGTACTTATTTTGCTATCTATAGCTCTCTCTTTGGTAAAGGGTTTATTGAAATCTTTTGCCCATTTAGTAAATCAATGGCTTCACGTATCTGAGGGTTCTTTCTATATAATATTAGGATTCTTCAGATGTTTTATACCATGTCCTTTATTAAATATTTATATATTTTAAAATATTTATTTATTTGCAGATGAACACACGGTATCTTTATTTTTATATGGTGCTAAGTATCGAACCCAGTGCCTCA